GCAATGTTTTTTGATTTTCATTTTTTTTTTTGATTTTATTTAAGCGAAAAAGATGATGCCTGTGAAGATATAGACGAGTATTCCTGAGAGTTCACATGACAACAAGACGTATCACTTGCCAGAAGAATGCAATCTCCAAATGAAGAATAGTCTTTATTTGTGTCAGACAATATTGAAAATGAACACCAGCTCGAGTCTCGAGCTCCAAATTTAATGAACAAAATAAAAATGATAGTCATTCGAAAGAATTTTGTATGGAGTTCTTTGGTCGTTATAAAACGAATTGACATGGTCTTTTTAAATTGTTGGGTTTAGTCTTCGATAAGCATGTTTTGAGGTCAAAGTCAAGCTCACAAGCAACCTCTTATCCCTTAAAAGCTTTAGTTTAGAAAAAGACTTCATGTATGAAAACAGGGAGACTACAGCTGAAACAACACGAAGAGCTCAAGTTTCTTAGAAGTCTGTTTATCTTCTGGTTAGAATTTTGACTTCGGAGTTTTTCAAGAGCCCTATTTAGCTCTGTACTTCTCACTAATTAAACCCTTCTGGTTAAATGCGATGGAACAAAAAAGGGATTTGATTGGTAAAAAGATAGTATAGTATTCTCCGCGTTTTGTGCCGTCATATACCTCCTTGAGGCGCTATATTAATGTTACAAAATCAAGAAGCTCCCTACATTTTGGGCCGTAGCTACGCAGTCATGGTGATGATTTATTCTAGTTTCAGGCGACTTTGTTTTACCTCCACTTCAAAAAAGCATATGAAAGCAGCTCCCAAAGAGAAGCGGACGTCGATTTAGCATTCACGAAAGCAAAACATCTTTCTTAAAAATTCAAAGTGGTTTTGAAAATATGCTAAATGTATTTTCGTTTTAAAAGAAGTACTTAAAATTGTTTCGATCACATTCTCAAAGTGAATGAAGCCTACTTAGTATCAACAACAAAGAGGATCATGCTGATTTACCGGTAAGATAGTTGGAGTTTATCTGTACATTCGGATACGAATTTGAAAACATTCTGGAAAGATTACCGGGCGTTACCCGAATTTCAATGTATCTCTTTTGTCACAAAGTCAGTAAATACAAAATTGGAAAACTATAATCAACAGCAAGACTACTATTTTGGTGTTTCAGCGAGTAATATTTTTCATCTCTTGGAGATTTTTTTCAAGTTATTTGGAAGCCAGAGTCTAATTTTCATATCTTTTCGTGAATATTTGTTTCACTTTACTGGCAGCTATAGTCAAGCTATAGCTTGGAGTATCTCGAACAAGTGTGTCTTGTAGCCACATTAATTTTTGATACCAAAGGTTGCGTGAAATCCTTCCAATAGCGTATGGAAACCTGATATAGATGACACCCACATAAGCCTAGACGAGATTACTCTTGGTTGTTGGCTCTCAGCTTCCTATCTCTGGCTGACTTTGACCTTTTATCTATCTTTTTGTTGGATGTTTAAAACCGGCATGGAGAATAATTATAAGGGCGACAGGAATACTTTGTTGCTCAGTTTATTGCCTTTAATATTCCATCTAAATTCCTTTAGCCTTTTGATATTTCCTGCCTGCCAGAAGACCTCCAACTTACGACAGAGCAAAATTTAATTCTCACATCCCTCAGTTCAAGTCTCAACACATATCTTGAACAATGTGCGAATGAAAGCAAGATTTTCTCTTCATGCTTTCTGAAGTTCTCAAGTGTTCTTTCTTGGATGCCAAAACATTTGCCAATAAATTCTTTGGTGATTGCTTTAACCCAAAAATTGACGCATCCAATTTATACCTCATATTCTCTTTTCCAACGACAACAGAGCCCTGTGGTTGTCGCATGTAGATCTCTTCCCCCAAATAGCCATTCAAAAAGGCTGAGGACACATTAAATTGCCGAAGCAATATATTTGTCTGCGCGGCACTTTAAAAAGACCGCCACCGTCAACAAATCCCACCCGAATTCTGAGCTTGTTTGGACAAAGCCGTTTACTACTAACATAAAGCTTTGTTCCTTGTGATGATCGTTCGGCTGGCATGAACTTTCCAAAAAGCTTCTACCTCAGCACCAAGAAAGACTATATGTCGTCGTGGCGATCCGAGGTTTTTGTCATCAAAACATTTAGCATATATCGTGGGAGACAAAACTCATACTGTGTATGTGAAGTCACGACTGGGTACCCGATTACTTTTTTGCCTACTACAGATGCGGCTTATAATTAGATGAAAAATGAAAGTAAAGGACAGATAAGGCGCCGGAGTCCGAGCCGAACACCTCAGAAGAGAGAGTAAAGCTAAAAGGCCTAATGGCGTTCTTTGAAGTATGGCCAATGGCCAAACAAGAATATTCGGATAGCTGTTGTTAGGATAACTCAAACTACATTGCACGAGGATTCCCACCCTGTATCCTTTACTAGAGGCAGTTTTTGCTGAAATAAAGTTGATTAGATGCTTTTATAGATTTATAGAGATATTCGCCTTCACAGAAGAAACGCTGTCACCCTTCTCTCCAATTCAATGCGATTCAACAAACTTGATCTTAATTTTTTGTCCTTCCTCACTTAAAAATTCATGGATTGTCGAGTCATCGAAGAGACGGAAGTGAACAGAAAATCCGTAGTATAAATACTCATCAGCAACATTGACATAATCTTCGGTAGCATTTACTATAGAAAGAGTGTTATCATCCACAGGAAATGTTTCCTTGCTCATAGAAAGTGTACCATTTGCAATGACAATATATTTTCCGTCCTTAAGCACAATATTCTTCAGCAACTTTGATTCTCCGCTCTGCAATTCGAACACATCACCTTTGAAACTTTGCGTGACAGTTCCATCTTTTGAAACACCGAGGAATTTTGGCGCACCAACTTTTTCTCCTCCCGTTTCAATCAAAAAAGTACCTTTCAAAGATACAGCAAAGCACAAGGCGAGAAGGGGAAATGTGGCAAGTAGCTTCATGTGAGGTCAAGTTACTAAATTATTAGTGTAGCATGAAAACAGAACTGGCCCTTTTTATATAGCACCGAAAGTCTGAAAATGCTTCCTATTGTATTGAAGCGGGTAGTCTTTTCTATGATTTTATTGAGTTCATCGTCAAAGAAGTTATTGTTCAATCTCCTATTGATCGCAAATTCGGTCTTTCAACTTTGATCATTAGTTGCAAACTTCCAAGTGTTCAAGAGCAAAGCGCCCCGAGACGGCAAACACAATACAATCTACCGCATAGACTAGGCTAGTGGCAACGAGACATGTTCAAAAAAAGCCTAACCCAAGTCAATTTAAATAAAAAGATGATTGGGATTGTCAAGGTAAAGAATCAAAAATATATCTTGAAAGAAAAAATGTGCATTGGCAGAAGGGAACGGATACAAAAAAACTTTTCAGCATTGACATCCCGATACTTTCTGTAATCCAAAATTGCAGCAGTGGTTTTGAATTCATTCGCGCTTGGTGGTCAATTCACGAAAGGGCTCTCAACTCATGACCTACACGCGAAGAACAAAATGATTTTTGCCCCTTTTTTTCTGTTTTCCCAAAACAAAAAAGCGTGATCAAATCCAAACGTCTGTTCCCAATGATTATACAAGCATTTTTTCTACGCTTGCTTCCTAGGCCGCATACATATGATTTGATTTTCAATTGGTCTCATTTCAAGCTTCAACTAGGATCTGTTGAAGTGTACTCAAGAAAAAAACTCTGCATCAAGTGAGCGTTGAAACTATACGCAATATGAGCGGCTGTGACAATACCGTAGACCGGTCCTTCTGTGAGTATAAAGCCTAGATTCGTTTGCCCCCAA